TGAATATAGCCACGTGATTTAAAATGAGCCAAAACTATCGCATCAATTGCATGGTGATAAGGAGTTAAACTTCTTAACTGTTCTTTATAATAAAAAGGAGAAAATTGCCACTTTTCTCCCTCTTTGTATTGTAATAATTGCTTCCGAAAATAAGAAGTCAGCGAACCCTTAATTGACTGAACTTCTGTTTTTCGATACTTTAAACTTCTATCTAGTTCATTTCGGACATATCGCTTCAAATAAGTAGCAACCATTCTCGTATCATTCAGGTTGCGGCTCACAAAATCTTCCAACTCTTCTTCTCAGCCCTCTTTTTCTCCCAAAGTTAAAAATTTATATTTGAAAGGATTTCGGGCTTTATAAAGGTCATTAACTGTTTTTTTGAAAGATGACCACTCTTTTTCAGTTTTATATTTATCAAAAAAATGAAATGGTAAATTCTCTCCTTTAATTTGATTGCATTCCGGATGAGTTAGAGTTAAATTGTTAAAAGAATCATTAGCCCACTTACTTTGGGGAATAATATGGTCGATTTCGGTATTTTTCAATTTTCATACATCAATTTCTTTGCCGCAATAAAGACAAGTTCCTCCTGGGTTAGTGGTCTCTTTGATAGTAGGTTTTTTTTTTCGGCTTCATTTGCCTCCAACTTTCGCCCAAAGTTTTTCATTTTGATCCTCTCACAAACGATATCGCTTAATATTTTCTTCATTAATTTGGATGTCGGAATTATTATCCCTTAGTTTTTCGACAATTTCTTTCTTTTCCTTGGCTTGGTCTTGGTTTTTCCGCTCAATTTTGCTTCTCTCCTCCTCCGAATTTCACAAGTCCCGACCAGTTTCAATATTAATCGTAGCAAATCCTTGGGGATAATTTAAAAAAAGGTTCTTAAGAATTTTGCGGGTTTGGTTAAAACTGCGAAAAACTACCGGATTCCTCACTAAATCGGGATGCATTCACGGAGATCATATTGTTTCATTTTCATCACCATTTTTGCTATTCTTTAACTTCTCTTCTAATTCTTTTTTAGCTTTCGCTTGAAATTCACCATATTTTTGACCATCCAAAAAGGCTTTAATTGTTTCGACCATGTAACGGAAAGAAACCGAAGCCGGCGACCTTTTTTTATCATATTTTTCTAATTTGGCTAGGCAATCCCCAAAAGCCTCTAAACTATACACTTTTTGGCTTAAACTATCTAACTCATTTT